CAGCCTGCTGTAGGTGACCCTGCTTCAGCAGGGGGGTTGGGCTGGGGGACCCACAGAGGTCCCTTCCAACCCCTACTATTCTGTGATTCTGTGATTCTGTGAGATCCAGTCCGGTCTGTGCTCTGTGCTGCTTTAGCACAAAGCTCTGAAGACAACCTCACCCTATGACAGTTTTAAAAAATTCCTACTTTTCTATCCTCCCTTAACTTGCCAGAGCCTGTCAGGACATCTGATTAGTCCCTGGGTTTCAGTTAAGCCGTTCATCACTGATATGATTTTATTTCTCCTCTCGCCCCTCCCCTTCTGTTGCAGTCTGGATTTTTTATTTTTTTTCCCCAGCAGTACCAAGGCTTCATAACTCCACACGAGGTAAATAGATGCTGCAACAGCTCAGTATCTCTGAAAGATCAGGCCCTGGGGAGTCCCAGCGCGCTCGGAGAATCCAGGTCTCGGGTACAAGCACACCAGACGCCAGATGGGCTGGTGAGAAGCTGACGTGGCACGAGCAGGCGGAGGATTCTTGCATTCCTCCCTTCCTTGCCTTCCCCGAAGACGTGGTGTCGAACCAGCCCATCGCTCACACAGGTGGGGTCTGGCCGGAGGACGGGGACGTCCCCGCGGAGGGGCACACGGCTTTTCCCCGATGGCTTCGCTGCGGTGGCAGGAGGGGGGCTGGCTGCCTGAGCCCCAGCCTCTCCTTGTGCTTCAGGTGCTGCTTGTTCCACTGTAGGAACATAAAAATACCATTGCAGCCTGAAAAAAAAAATGATATAAACCTTCAGCTGTTCGCAGGCATCTGTCAGTGTGGACATAAACCAGCAGGCATGGACAATTTACATAGATTTATATGCCACGACGACAGACGTTTTAATGTGCTGTAAGGTAGATACGCATGAATCCAGGGCTCATAAGACAGGGAAATAGACTGAATTACCTCTCTCTCTGGGCTACTTCTCAGGAATATTTTTGGCCTTGGGCAAATGTGAAAAGCCCAGAACAAAGATAAATTGCTCAGCTCCCCGTGATTATTAAAGGAATCATCATTTTTGAACACGTGGTTTGGGAGCCAGTTAATCTTAGTCTTGGGCTGTCTTTCGTGCTGAACAAGCCTCAGCTCGATGGAGGCTTGATCCTGTGGAACAGAGATGAAAAATCCGAGCCGCATTTGTGTCTGTACATAACTGCTGGTACGTGGGCAGGAGCAGGAATAACTAGTTGGTCAGCAGCGTGAAAAAGCTAGTCAGGAAATCTCTGGGACATTTGACTGATAATGAGAGGCATTTCTGTGCTGTGCTATGTCTATATCTAAATGTCGTGCTGTGTTTGCATGTGATTGTTTGACCGGCTCCTGGCGGGACCTTTGTGTCAAGCAGTGGAACGTACAAAAAAGCTCCTTGAGAGTCTTTCCAAAGAGTTGCATCCAGAATTGCAAAGCACATGGATGAGTTCCTAGGGCTGCAATCACACCATGTCGATATTTGGTTCATTTCAAGTATGCAGCAACCTTTCAAGAGTAAAAAAGTTGACGAAGGACCCAAAAGGAAAAAAAAACAAAAAAAAGGAAGGGGTATGAAGATCATGCACAGTTACTGGAACTGTTACTGTGGAAAAAGAAAAAGTTGCTGGGGCCTCGCTGCCTTCAGTTTCCATTTACCCTGTCCACCCATAGCCCTCTGCCTGAAAAGGGAAAGGAAGACGAAGAGGAAGAAGAAGTGTGACAGGAGGGAATAAGACCATGTAAGGAAAAGAACTGAATTTAACTGGCACATGCTCTAATCCTTAGTTTATTTTTGGTTAAAAATATAGCAATCCAGTGCAGTGTAATAAGAAATCTGCTGAAAAGGTAGCAGAGAAACAGCTAAAACAGAAGCAAAGCAAAGCTGAGTCCACAAGTCAGGGCTGTACCCAACAACTCTTTATGTGAAATGCCAAGGAGGATCCTTTCCCTCCTCCCCCCCATAGATCTGCAGAAGGGTTTCATCCCAACCTCGAGCTGCTGCCCCACGCGCACCCCTGCTCCCGTCCAACGGAGCTGCGGGGGGTGGAACTGAGGGGGGACTTTGGTCCCTGGATGTACCAGATCCCAAACGAGCCACGTGAAGCGTACCTGGTGGTGGTGGATCACCGGCAAAGCCGATCTCCACGGCGTGGGCAGGGGAGGAAACAGCACAGTCGTTTTTGAAAAGCGCGGGGACGTCGGCCGTTTCCAAGCAATGGAGCTAAGACCACGCTCTGGTGATGGGGACCATAACAGCTCAGAACGGGGATACGGCATCTTTAATGAGTATGCATATTATCAGTGGGGACAGGGGAGGGGAGAAAATCAAGGCAGGCATATTACAAAGATGGTATAAACAAACAAATTAAGTGACATAGAAAAAAAAAAAAGAAAAAAAAACATCCTCAGAGGCTGCCATTGCCAATGATGTTTGGTTTTTTGTTTTTCATTTTTTTTCTTTTTTTTTTCTTTTTTTTTTTTTTTACAGGGACATGTTGGAAGCTGGAATATACATCCTGCATTACAAAGTGCAAAATACTACATGCTCAGAGCCCAAGCATGATGTCTGAAACAGTCCACAGCAAGATGTAAGAGACAAACCCACCACCCTCTCCCTCCTCTCTGGGACATGCTCCAGTGCTCCTCCCCAGATGCCTTTGAAAAACAATTTTATCTTATTTTGCTTTATTTGGTTTTATTGTTACCCTAAGTGGCTCAGAACTGAGCCCTCTCTCCCCAGTCCCTCCCCAGCAGTCGGCTGCCTGGCATCTCTGCGCACGCACGTGTTTGGGCTGGGATGCTCAAGCAAGGCTGCTGCTCACCTGTTGGCGAGCACGGCACGGTGCCCGGCAGCCACTCAGTTCGTGTTGCCGAAGGCGCCTGCACGTTTTTTGGGGGAATCCGGGTACCCATTTTTACCCAGGAGAAACTGGCTGTGAATTAGAAGTGGCACTGGGTGGTTTTCCAGTCTTGCCGTGGCAGGGGAGCCGCCTGGGGAGGAGGAGTGAAGGCAGGAGGGCGGTGGGGCTGCTGCTCCCACTTTGTGTTCCCTATTCCCCCCCTGCCCCAAGAAATTTAGCGAGGCACCAATTGCTGCTTTGTTTTAAAAACAAAATACAAAATGGAGCCTGTTGCCCTTCTCCCGTCACATCCAGACAGGGTTCATGCCTTCCCCGTGCTCCTTCTCTCCTCCTTTTTACAGCAACCTTTCTCCATTTGCGAAGGGAGCAGGAAGAAAAGCCTGATTTTGCTTTTCTCTCCCATTCACTTTACCATTAAAGCTGTTGTGGATTTCCCTGGGAAACTCAGCCTGGAGCATCCCAGGACCCGTGCCTGCTTCAGACAAAGTCTCCCCGTGGTCCCCTCATCTAGTCTCCATTTTGGGGTTCATTACTGTTATGAATATATTTTTGGGGGGTGAGGGGAAGGGAAATGAGGTTTTATTTTGTTGGGATTCCTTCTCATCCTTTCCAGTGTTGGGGGGGCAGAGTGTTGATAGCATTTTGCCATGCCACACAGCATAGTGTTATACAAGCAAAGAATTTTGGCTAAAATCCAAAAAACATTACCCAGGAAAAAAGGCAAACTGTGAGTGAGACTCGATCGTTTGTTGTTCTTCTGTGAAAAGACTTGGAAATTGTCATAGGACAGTTCGAGTTATGAGTTTTCCCTTTTCGTTGTTCTTGTTTGGGTTTTTTTTTCCCCCATTCATACATGTAACTGTTATTTTTGCAAACAAGACAGTCTTGAATTAGATGAAAAAGTTAATAAACAAAATGGCGACTCCAATATTTAGTAAGATCACCATGACTACCAGGATAGGAGCTGAGCCCTGGAAGAGAAAGAGAAGGAGAGGAGTTAGAAGGCGCGTTGAACGTCTCTCTGAGGTTGCCTTGTAGCGGGGGTCAGGCGCGGCGCTGGGTCCGGGACTCCGCGGCGCTGGGTCCGGGACTCCATGGCGCAGGCGGGGCTCTTAGGGGTGAGCAAAGAGCAGGAGCAGGGACTGAACCCGGACCTGTTGCCTCCATCCCTGTGACAATAAACAGGTCACCCCCAGGGCTTTCCTCTGAGCACAGCGTCCTCCTAAGGCAGCTGCTTGGTTCTGCAAAGCAGACAAAATCGCTCTCCTGTTTCACCAACACAGAAGAACCGGGCTCTGCCAGGAGCCCCTTTGCTCCCTCCCCACGCTGACCCATGGCCCAAGGCGTTCTTGGGCCCGCAGCATCCCTGGCAGCACGGTCCCTCTTCTGCCTGGGTGACAGCAACGCTGCTGGACTCCTGCTTTTCCGAGTCACTTCGACTCTCCCTGTCCACCCATCTGCCTCAGCAGGCACGCAGACCTGCAGCTCTTGGGGCAGACTCTGTTCACTGGCACGCGTTAGCACAAATGGGGTGTAAGTCGCAGTGTGAGCCCCGGACCCTGCGTCTGCCGAGGAGCACCTGGATGCCACCCCCCGACCCAGCAGGGAAGGCAGCAGCTGCTCGTGGTCCCCCCTGTGTCGTGCGTATAGGAAGTCCAACCTTGAAAGAATAGCTAAAATCAGTTGTTTACCCAAGGTGGTCAATGAAAAGGCAAAAAAAAAAAAAGAGATGGTATTGGATCATACAGTTGTGTGGGGATGGTTTGGAGGAGTCTTCAAAGGACATTTCCTAATGAACATGATTCCTTGTACAGGTATCCTGACACTGGCAGAAGCCAGGCCACCATAGGTTGGTCTATGTTAAGGCAAAATTTTGGGAAAGCTCCAATAACCTTTCCTGAGGTTCCTATGGCCCAAATTAAGCTGCATGAGGACTACGTGGAAACCACTGCAGCAGCTCACATCGCAGCTGGCCTGGGCCAGTCACCCACCGTCGGCCGGG